TACTGCAGGTGATGCCCAAGGACTGTTAGATGGCCGAATAACACCATCTTCTAGCATCGTTTTCACCTGTTTTTGAATTGCCTCACGCTCCTTTGGGGCAACTCGATAACGATTTTGTCGGATGGGTCTGGCACTGGAATCCGTGATTATGCGGTGTTTCGTCAGTGCCGTTTGACCAACTCTTGATGTGGATGAGAAGCAGCCATGGAACTTGTTGATCAGCGTGAGAAGGCGGTCTCGCTCAACGGGAGATAACATTGGACCAACGTCGACTGGTGTCGGTGTAGTGATAGTAGACGCTGCTGCTTCCTTCACTAAATGACAATCTTCTGTTTGCGAGAGTTCGTCAAAATAGGCAATAGCCGTGCCTTTAACTATGTGTCAGCGTTCTCTGCTGAAATTTGTCAATAGCAGTTCAGCGCATCTGTCAATAACAGTGATGACAGCCCTGGCAACAGAAATGCCGCTAGTGAATGCGAGCTCCTTGATGTGTCAGCGATGCCAGTACCATTTTGTAATTTGTCACAGTGCACGGATACGAGAGAACAACTTCGTGGCGGCAGTATGACGTCGTCATCGGCAATACGGAAGCGAGGTGGCTGGTGTTCCTTATCTGTAGCAGTCTCTGAGCTTACAGTGAACGTTACGCTTCTGTCACGGATGTCAATCACAGCCCAGTATTCGCTCTAGAAATCCATTCCCAATATGAGCTGTTTACAGCACTCGTGGAGAATGATGAGGGTGGCGACAAAGGTGGAACCAGCAATGAAGAGTCGGGCTGTACACTTTCCAACCGGTGTCATCAACTGACCTCGTGCAGTTCTTATATTGGGTCCCTGCCATGGCATTTTCACCTTCCTTAGTCTTTCGGCTAGCTGTAGGCTTATTATAGAAAAGTGGGAGCCAGTGTCCACAAGAGCCGTCACTTGGTGGCTGTCAATGTGAACGACGAGGTCAGCGCTGATAACGTTGGTTACGTCGGCAGTTGTCTCATTCGTCGAATTAGTCGTTGCTGTCGTCTTCTTGGGTATCGATGGCTTTGAGCTGTCATTTGTCTGCAATGGGGGCTGTTCGGAATTTCGAATATTGGCAACCCCACCCCCCGAGGTCACTGCGTCTAGTTTCCCCGTCGCGAGCTAGGGGACCTGCCCCTGGTGACGTCGGCAAAACTGCGACGATTAGGTGAACTGGGCCGCGCAGAAGATGGAGAACGGGATCTGGGCATTACTGGATTCTGCGGCGGTGTGTTCACAGGGGCGTAGTTGTACACGCGTTGATCGTCGTACGCAGTGTAATCAGAGTAGCGAGAAAATCTCGAGTATTGAGCGTCGCGATAACGGCAAACTCTGTAGACGTGCCCAGCTTCGCCACAATGAAAGCATACCGGTCGACGGTCAGCGGTACGCCAAATATTGGTTTTCCAACGCTGGTAGGTAAGTGGAGACTCACTATTAGGCCACGTTGTGGGGCATGTTGGTTATACGGCAGTCGTCTTGTCGGAGGAATCGGTGAGGTTGCGAAAGTGGTTGGTGCTGACAGTGACTGTGTTTGCAGGGTTGATGGGGGTCCAGTCATTGGAGTCTGCTGTGCTGAAGGTGCGACGACGGAGCGTCGGACTGCATCAGCATAAGTAAAATGTCGTCGCCCACCATTACATCCGGATGAAGAGAGAGCCTGGTGGACCTCATCCTGGACAACATCAGCGACAAAAGACAATGCCGGCGTCGGTTCAGTTGCTGGAATTAAACCAAGCTGCCGAAGCTCCTCCCTCAAAATCTCCCGGATGACTTCCCGCAGAGGCCTGTCGTTGTTGCAGAGGCTCGCCGCAGTCGTAACAGGGCTACTCGCTCGAACGTTGACCGGGTTCTGCTGGCGGTACCGTTGCTGTAGGGCCCGTTCAATAGCTGTGGCTTCTTTTGTGAACTCAGCTACTGTTGTTGGCGGATTTCTCACAAGCCCAGCAAACAGTTTCTCCTTCAGGCCTCGCATTAGATACCGTAGCTTCCTGTCTTCCGGCATCTCGGGATCCGCCCTGCCGAAAAGACGGGTCATGTCCTCGGCGAACATAGCGACGCTCTCGTTTGGTTTTTGAATTCGAGCTTCCAAGAGACGTTGCGCATTCTCTTTTCTGTCAAGACTACTGAAGGTGTCAATCAGCTGGTTGCGGAAGTCGTCCCACGTAGCCATGCTTCTTTCCCTGTTGATGTACCACATCTGGGCGTTGTCTTTCAGGTAGAAGTACACATTCGCGAGCTTGTCTTCTGGGGTGGCCCACTGGTTGTACTTCGCGCAGCATTCGAACTGGTCCAGCCAGTCTTGTGCATCTTCATAGGTCTCACCATGAAAGCAGTCAGGAATCATGGGATTCTGAAGTGTCATGTGCGATGTAGCTGCAATGGCCATGGTGGTGGAAGGAGGCAAGTGATTGCTGGCAGTTTCTGGAAAGGGATTGAGCTCAGGAGCTAGGCCTCACAGACGGCGGCTGGAATGGTGGACTGGTGTGTCGACGGGTGGTAGTGATTCCGGGCTTGAATGTCGGGTCCGCGAAGGGGTGCCAAGCATGAAGACGTACCCAGCACCTCCACCAGTGTGACGACGCGAGATTGACGAGCACACAAAGAACCGCAAACAAATACGATTTATCGATCGCAGGAAACAGACTGCAATGACTTTTTCGTCTTTGGCCTCGGCCAAGGACACTCGCGCTGCTTCGTTGTCCTCACCACTGGCACATACGCGCGGCAATATACATAGACACGCAATTATAAAGACCTTAGTGTTTCTTATGCTGCGCTCAAAATGCGAGGCTATGCTCGAAAAAGCCCCCTGCCGACGATATGGTACTGCCACCTGGCAAGACAGAAATGGTACGAGAACAGCATCATTGGCAGCCGCGGATGAGACCAGGACTCGTGTAGTACGACCGGCAGACGATTACCATCTAACGACGACATTTGCAGCAAGGCATGTGGATATGCGGCCAATATTGTTCTTGACATGTTTTTAATGAACGCTGGGTGCATTGTACACAATTGCTTTGTCCACTTTTGTTTCCCTCTTCTTAATTTAGTAAATAGTATGTGATTTGCATGTTGTTTATTTAATCTCCCTGCCGACCAGGCTCTTGCTAAAATAAAAATACCATATTTACTTACGTAATGAATGCACTCGCATAATAAATGTACCCCCAACTTCAATCATCAAAATGGTGATTTTTCTTTTCCCTGCATATTAAACGCACCCCATACATTCATTCGCTGCAGTCTTGCTAACTGACACCTGGCATGTTCTTGCCTGTTGGACCTCTTCCATTTTTTATTATTATGCCGATCCCCCTCGGCTACCCCGGCTCGCTCGCTCCCTCCCTTCGCCTGCTGCCGCGCGCCGTATAATTTTTATTTCTGTCTGTGCGTGGCATGTACCCGGTCTTTTTTAAATATCTGTGTGCGACAGCGGGGGTTCACGAACGATGCGAGTGTAGAAACAGTGCAGTTGACAAGCACATAGCGAGCGAAGGTCACGAAATTTGCCGCGCTAATTAACGGCCGCTACCTGCAAATATGAAACCTCAAGGCCCAACCACATACATGCAATTTTCGAGCGATGACGACAGGATTTGTTGGTGCTATGGCTGTCACAAAGGGCCATTCATCATCATTGTGTCGCAGGTTTCTGGAAAACCAGAAAGAAAATGCTTGTCACCCTAAAAAGATCATGACCATTTCCGCAACATGGTCCTTGATTCCCGCTTTGTCTGCAAGCGACGCGGCCGCTGTATTCTGTCGTTAATCTTGTTATCGATGGTTTATTTTCATGCTACGGTGGTAGCTTTGGCTGCTTGCTACAATGTCAATGGCATCGTCACGGTCGTCGTGCGAAGTTTACATGAAGTTGGCAAAGAACGTTGTGGTGTCGTAGCGCATGCTTCTAATCACTCTTAGAGATTACAGTAGATATGATTGTTGCGGATAAACAATCGCAAGAAAAGATAGCCATGGAACGCTTTTTTGGCGTGCACGGGCGGCACGGGAACAGCTTGGAGAAGATAGTGCCTTCAACAACCAAAGATGAGTGAAGTGCAACAAAGGAGCTGAGTGACCTAACTTTCTTTCGCATTACCGCATTTTCTCACTCATACTGAAAACGTTTTTATAGAATTTGCCCTGCATAATAAATGCAACCCAGCTTTCCAATTTGTCGAGAAAGAAAGTGCGATCATTGCACGAGTAAATACGGTATTGAAGCAAATTCAGGGCTGACTTGTGACTTTGCTGGTGCGAAAAATCTGAAATTTATCGAGACAAGAAAAAAACAAAGGGGACATGCACAGGTATCTCTTGTGTCTTCGTTTTTTCTTGTCTCGAAAATTCTGCGCTAAATAGCTTCAGATTGAAGTGAAATTAACTAGAATGAACATGTCTTCATTACATACCATCGGTGAGCTGTTGCATACAGACAATCAACATGGAAGCCCCAAGATCAATCCTCTTTATTCATTTGAAACATGCGCATTTTGTAGCCTATCACGTTCTGGAAAAACACACAGAGAGACCGTTGGTGAGCATGAGATATTTGGTGCCATATTGAATTAGGGAGGCTAGACAGGTAGAGGACGCACGCAAGCATGGACCCAGGGCAAACATAATCGAGTAACAGAGCTCATGTTTATTGCCTTCTTGACGTGAAATTAATTAACAAGCGTTCACCAAAAGAGTGCAGCTTTTTTTATTGATGGCACACACTCCAAAATGGGTAGCTTATTTCGCACCAGTATGTCTGCGAAGAAAGAAAACGAATGCCATTTTCGCAGTAGCTAGATGTAATGTGCAGCTCCATGCCCTGACACTTTAGGCAGCTGTGTTTCTTCTTTATAGAATGTTGAAATAACAATTTGTAGTTTTTTGCCCACTCATTACTAATACTTGCTTCTGTGTGGCTCTCTTGCATACGCAGGGAACTTGTTACATAACAGACTGCGACTGTTGACTTCCATTGCGCAGGTGCTACCTGAAGACCTTCGTGCAATATGGCGACTCTGAGCTGGCTTCGCGACTGCTGCCAGCCTTCATGGAGCGACTGTCTGTGTGCTACGGGTCGCGGGGATACTGCGAGCGGCTGCGCAAGTGAGTGATTAAAGGAGTGTCGGGTAATGCTAGCAAGCTTTTCAAGACAACAGTCTTTTGAAGAGAACAAATAATATTAGGATTGGGGTTGTTCAGTCCTAAATGTGTGACTGTAGTGGCAAAAAAGCTGTGCACCGAATTATTACGTGCGTGCTCAAGAATGGTGGCACCAGTTAGACACATGTGCAGGAGTAGGGATTCATCGTAGAAGGTCAATCTGGTACACTTGCATTGACTTGCGAATGTGTCTTATTGACTTTTTTTTTCTACTAGAAATCCCAAGCAAAACTTGTTCAACTTTTTCTTCTGTTATATACTTTATTGCCCCCAGATGTTTCTTTTTTTTGTGCAGTTATTGGTTTGCATATAAACTATAAACTTACACGTGTATGTGTTTCTTCTTTGTAATTCCTGTTAGAGTGATGCAGAACAACTCTGTATGCTCAGACCTCAATATAACAAACACAGATATATAAAATGAAATATAGATTATTAAAATATAATAGGACTATTCCTTTATTATCAATTTTTGGATATAAGAAAATCATTTTTTTTGTAGGATGCAATTTTGTTATAATAGGGTTTAAGTGTATGGTAAAACACCAGCTATTCCACACGTAATTGTTTACAGAGTAACTTGTACCTGTTTGAACACAGATTTTACCCTAAAATTCTGGCATTCTGTAGAGCGTGTCTAATATCTGAAGAAACTCGAGAGCAGTTTATGAAGTCACACAAAAATGTGCCCAGGGTGCTGGCTGACGTTCTTCCGCAGCTGTTTCGCAAGTTCCCTGACGTGACCTTTCTGCTGACCTCTGAGTTCGTGGAGTTCCTCAGCCACACTAGCTCGTATGACGCGGGACCGGACTTCTTCGCAAACCTGGTACAAGCTTGCCTTGAAAAGCTCACTTTCGTGGCTTTGGCAGAATTTATGGTTTTAGTTGGTTGTGAGTATTCTTCGCATGCATAAGTGCACTTTCTGGGCATCAGCAGTCTGCTGAATCATTTGTCAGTGTATGTGATGAGTCGTAAATTATGTCATATTCGTCATTTGACCTGTGTGTCCACAAATGAGTATCATGAGTTGAAATTGAAATATCTTCGAGGACATGCTAAAGGACCTCCTACTGACCTGATCGGTTTCCATAGAAAAAGATTTTTAATATAAAAGTTTACATCCACCTCAGAAACATAGCTCATCGTAGTCCTATTTGATTTTACAACACTAAACCCAACATACTAGCTCACATATAAGAGGTATAGAGAACACTTTCGCCTGCACTATGTCCGGATTTTGCTTTCTTTTAAACGCATAGTGGCTTAGATTCGCATAACGCTCCTGCTAATTGCCTCTTCCGACTGCTTTTGATGGACTAGTGCCGCGCACGAACAATGTTTCTACGTCTACTTGCAGTTAAGGGGCCCGCAATATGACAGGGGCTTATCAGAGTGTTCTCTTGTACAGTGGACAGTACTTGGCTATCTCTAGAAACTGCTTACATCTGAAAGCTATCTTAATAAAGTGAGGGTAGTTGGTTACTTTGGTGACGTTGCAAGTGAAAAAGCGTTGGCCAGAAAATCAAACTACTGCTTGTGTCCTGTAACACAGGTGTGGGCCATTGGAGAGTTTGCCTCTCCCAACGAGAGCTCTCTGTGCTCTCCCAAGGCTGTGGGCGACTTCTTTGAGGTGCTCGAGTTGCTGGCCTTCGAGCTGCTCAGTTCCCAGGGCTTGTTGAGTGAGCGCCGCACCAGGCTCCTGTGCATCGTCATCACCAGCCTCTCCAAGGTGACTGCACGCTGACCCTAACAAAGTTAATCCCATCTTCCCAAGAACAAAAAAATACTAAAACTCGCCCTTAGCCCTGTCAATCACCAACTGGAATTCCTTGCCAGCTGATGTAGCCACTCTAACAGAATCATCATCCTTTCTGAAAGCGGTAAAAGTGTTCTTAGAAGTTCCAATCGATTAATGTAGTTATGCGGTGGTATTGTTTATGTGAATTACTTGAATATTTTTGTGTGCGTTATTCACGCCTACACTTGTTACCTGGAACCTATTGTATATTTATTAACATACCTTTTCTTCTGCAGAGTTTATATATATGTTTTTTATTATCCTTATCACCACTGTTGTGTGTACTGTTTTTTTCAATTTTTTTCCATTTAAGCTTTATATAATGATGCTTCTGAATATTTAATGTATTTTACACATGTTGAAAATCTTCCTAATCCCCTGTAATGCCCTCCCGGGTCCTTAGGGTATGTAAATAAAATAAAATGGGGTGATGTTATTTTTGGGTGTTAGTTTAGAAGGGTACCGATGCCAAAACTTCAAGTTGTCATTAGTTTGCGTCGAACCCACAACAGCAGTCTAGTGTCTAAGCTACTCGGCTGCTGACTCGTAGTTCGTGGGATCGAATCCCTGCCACGGCGGCCACATTTTCGATGGAGGTGAAAATGCTTGAAGCCCCTGTGCTTATATTTAGTTGTACTTAAAGAACCCCATTTGGTTGAAATTCCCAGAGCTCATCAGTGTAGTGTCTCGTAATCATATGATGGTTTTAAGACGTTAAAACCCAAACAAAAAAGAAAATTATTTTACGTCCAATGAACAGCTAAGCTATCAAAAGCCTAGAAAATGTTCTGAAAAGCAGTTCTGCGTGCTTTTAGAGCCTAGTTTCAGTTGCATTGAAATGTCATCATAACAAAGTTGCATCTTATTCAAAAATAAGTTTGTTATATCTGGGAATTCATTAATAGGGTGTATTCTTTACTCTGTATCTATTGCATGACTGGTTTTCATTTACTTCGTTATAACTGATATTTTGTTATATTCAGGTTCATTATATCGAGGTATGAGTGTACTACAGTGGACTCCTCTTAAACGGAACTCGAAGTGGCAAGGAAACTTGTTTTATTGATGAGAAGTTTCATTTAAGCAATGCCCACAAAATGAATCAAATATGACTAAAGCACCACCTGGCTAACTGAATAAAAACATTCTAAAGTATACAATACTACTTCAGTATTAAAAAGAAAAAAATGTTCATATTGCTACATGCATGTTGATATTTTGTGGGACGATGCGCATGTGTGCCTGACGAAGAGAGAGAAAGGTGCTCTTCGCTTGTTAGCTGGTGAACCGGTCACGCCATTACTGCTGGTTTTAAGTAAATCTCTTCCACAGCCTCGTCGACACGGCGTCGTGTCTTATTCGTAACATATTTGGTGGAGGTGGAACGTTCCCCGTCCTCACCCTGAAGCTTCGCAGTGGCCGCACCGTTCCGTCTCCGGCCATGGTTGCCAATGACAACCCGCCAGCGTCTCTATCTGTAGCTCCAGCCACTACATACCTAACGATGCCCCACCCGCGTGATCCCGGTACATTCTCCGCACAACCTGTGCTTGACGTTGACTACTGGCTCCGCATGTGTGAGCGTGTTAGCCAGACACACCGATGGGATAATACCATGATGCTCGCAAATGTAATCTTTTACGTGGACGGCACTCCACGTGTTTGGTTCGACGCCCATGAGACCGAGATCACCAGCTGGGATATCTTCAAGGAGCGACTACGCGACATCTTTGGGGACCCGTCTGGTCACCGAATGGAAGCGCGACAAGAACTCGCCACTCGGATGCAGTCCTCAACAGAGTCGTATGTCTCGTACATACAGTACATACAGGACGTGCTCGCGTTGTGCCGGAAAGTAGACGAGCAAATGCCGGAGAGTGACAAGGTGGGTCACATACTCAAGGGCATCGCGGACGATGCCTTCAACTTGCTCGTGTACACTAACGTCACGGCCGTCGATGTGATTATTAAAGAATGCCGCTGCTTCGAAAGGGCCAAAAGTCACCGTGTCCTGCTTCAATTTACGCGACTACCAAACACGGCTGCTACATCCACCTGCGTCGATCTCATTGCCACGCCACCCATGCAGGAGAACGTGACACGTATAGTTCGACGGGAGTTTGAGACGTCAAGTCCAGTGCCATTTCCTTCACTTCCACTCGACCATGCCGCTGCACAAACGCCTCCAGCGGTCTCCGTTATTCAAGCTGTCGTGAGGCAAGAAATTGCAAAGCTCGGATTTCCTGTGGCCTGCTCTGTCTCCCGACCCAACTCCACACCGATGACAATAAATGCACCGCGCCACGACTCATACTTTCTTCCGCGATCCCGCAATCCGACGGAATGGAGAGCAGCAGACGACAAGCCTATTTGCTTCCGCTGTCACCGGGTTGGCCATGTCTCCCGCTACTGTCGCATTACTTGGACGCCGCACCCTTGGAGCCAATTTTGTTCTTCTCCTCGGCCATACGCGGATGCCCATCGGTATTCACCCAGCCGTGAGTATCCTGCTTCCGACGCACCTTACAGCCGCTCTACCACTCTTTTACCGTCACCGCAAAGCCGCCATTCGCCGGCACCCCAACCCCGCCGCTATCCATCGCCGACTAACTGCGGATCTCCCCAGACAGAAAACTAGATTATGCAGCTCCTGGAGGTAGTGCTGCATCAAGTGCGAGTGACCCAGATCCTCCGTTGACGCTCCCTACTAATAAGAACTTGCTGGAAGTGCATGTCGACAGTCTTTCTTTGACGGCCTTAGTTGACAATGGAGCTGAGGTGTCTATCATGAGTTCTCGTCTCTGTCGCCGCCTCAAAAAAGTACTCACGCCTGCCGCAACACAAGCCGTCCGTGTCGCCGATGGTGAAACTGTGGCCGTCATTGGAATGTGTACCGCACGTATTAGCCTTGCTGGCCGCCATGTTCCTGTTTTATTTACCGTGATCGACAATTGCCCTCATGATCTCATCTTCGGGATAAACTTCTTATCGACGCATTCGGCGCTGATCGACTGTTCCGCCGGCACTCTCTGTTTAGAACTTCCTCTTCTTCCAGATTCTCGCTCCGAGATGCCGAAAAACCTCTGTACCACAGACTTCAGTCGGATACCGCCAAAAGCATTCATATTCATTGAATTGGCAACAAGTTCACCTGTTGTTGACGGTGAATATGTCGTCACGCCCATTCCTGAGGTTCTCCTGGCGCGCGACATCACTGTGCCACCCTCCATCGTAACTATGGCCTCTAACCGAACATGTCTGCCCATTATCAATTTTCGTTTCATGCAGCAAGTACTACCGAACAGAATATCAATCGCCAGGCTTCGTTCCTTAATAGACGCCCACGTCACCGCTTTTGTGGCAGACGCATGCTCCGATCGTCCATGTCGCCCGCAGGATGCCACATCCCTCGATTCGGCCTTGTGCCCCATGTCGACCCGAAACTCAAACCTGAGCAATCCGATGCCCTATTCCGCCTTCTGGCTTCCTACCGCGACATATTTGACACCGACCGCAGTCCACTCGGTCAGGCTTCTGTCGTGAAGCACCGCATTAATACTGCTTATTCTCCTCCCATTCACCGTTGACCATACCGGGTGTCTGCCACAGAGCGTAAAGTAATTCAAGAAGTTAACAAGATGCTAGCCAAAGGAATTATTGAACCCTCCTGGAGCCCTTGGGCATCTCCCGTTGTGCTCGTTAAGGGGAGACGCGGGTCGAAAAGTCGCGGTTTTCCGGAAAATTTTCGCTTTTTTTTTTCCGGCTGTATTGGCATCCTTGGACTATAATCTATTACTTCTGAAAATATCAAGCTGAAATTCGCACGAGAAATTATCAAAAAATGCTTCCAAGTGGGCAGCGGTGATGAGAGAAATGCGCGAAAGTCGCGAAAAACGGCGAAGTTCGCGTCGTCCTGTCGCGAAAACGACGTGTTGGCCGCCATTTGCAATCGTGCACGCATGCTGCGAAGGCCGTATCCTTCATAATCCACTAGTAGCCAGTCTCGTGCCTTCACGCAGAATAAACAAAAAACGAGAAAAACAATGCGTACGTCACGCGTTTTGAATATCGCAACACACAGCGCGAGGCCGCCATTGGACGGCGGTGCGCTCCACGCTCCTCCCCCTCCTATCTCTCCGGCAAAAGAGCGAAGCCTCGGACGTCGCGATCGAGTTTTTCTGCGTTTCTCTGCATTTTTGCGTAATGGCAAGCCCGAAGAAGTGCAGTTCAGATAATCGAAAGTTCAGAACTCGCCACAAGTATCGAGAGAAACGGCGTCGGACGCTTCGCAAAGCGACAGTGAACGACGATGTCGCCCCCGACCAACGCCCCGACGCTCCGACTTCGGATAGGCCTAACACCGTCACCGAACCCTGCGACAGTGGTTGTGAAATAGCCGCTGCCGTGGAATTCGTCAGTGCATCCCAAAGGAAGATTGGATTCTTTGAGAGTGAACGTAGACCGGTAGATGCTGCTACTGCGAACATGCTGCTTTGTGAAATCGATGCGCTGACGGCACTTGTGGCGGGTGCGCGATGCCCAACCTGCCGCGAACGGAAGCTCGGCGTGCGAGAGGCAGCTGGAAAGCGCAAAGGACTTTCGGCATTCCTCGAACTGTGCTGTCAAAATTCTGATTGCCCTGAATCTGCACTTTCGTTCACGCACACGTCGAGACGTACTGCTTCGGCCGGGGACCAAGGAACGAGCGCTCGTTTTGACAGCGGCAGCTCGCGTGACAGCTTTGCTGTAAACGTGTAGGCAGTTCTGGCAGCACGCGCTATAGGCGTAGGCCACGACCAACTTTCACGATTTTGTGCGATTCTCGGTCTTCCGAGCCCGATGCATCACAAGACATTCAACGGCATTTGCAAGAAGCTCCATGGTGCGGCGATGACGGCAGTGAGCAAAAACTTGCACCAGGCACGAAACAT